GCATCAGAGACACGGAGAGACTGCTCTCGAGCCACAGGGGCCCTTCCGTGGGCAACCTGCACACTCCGTATTTCAATAATGCACTCTTCCCGACTCCACGGGGCATGCAGCCCCGCGCGGCTCTGCTGGTTAATGATGATTGCAGAAGTGGCTCCCGAGTCACATAACTGAGCGCCACCGGTGTAAATATTTAATCCTGCTGATCTATGTGGAAAGGCAATGTTTTGGTTCCACCGTCTGTCTGTCTTTTATAGGCTCATCCACTGAAATGTCTGTCTCACTGCAAGCTTTAGAGGGCTGGGACTGCATTTAAATCATCTTAATGACATGAAAGAGAGTCCCATGCGGGTAGGTAGTTAATAAATGCATCTTCTGATCTTGAGGAGGAGAGACAAAGAGAAGAAATTCCCATCTTGATATCTTCCTTTACAGCTTCTCCCTCCACGGCCTGGCCTGCAATGGGACTTGACCGGTGGGCAGGAAAACAGACCCTTCACCCAGAGCAGGGCTTCTCACTGCAGACCACGCGTCTGTGCAGCCCAGGGGAGGGGGGGTCGCGCCTGGTGCTTCCCAGAGGGTGCTCTGCAGCCGGGAGGGCATGGAGAGGGGAGGGGCTCGGGGGTCTTGAAGCCCCGGGGCTTCTGCTTTGAAAGGAGCACCAGGTAGCAGGCCCCCAGGGCTGCTCCCAACTATCCTGTCTTTTTGGCCCTGAAATGACTTGAGTGTGACATTCTCATTCTTCTTCAGTTGTCTGGAACCAAGAGCAGAGGCAACTGGTAGATACTGAAGCGACTGTGGCCGCAATGGAACACTGACCTTTGGGCCACAGGCAGACAGGACTATGTCCGTCTCTGCCTCTCCCCTTCGGGATGGCTGGCAGCTGGCCATGCCGGCTGGGCAAGAGGTCTGCAGAGCAATGCTTCATGCATCTGGGAAGCACGGAACTCAAGGGGCTCATGAAATAAGCCTGATGTGTGCTCAAGGTTTGGCCATCTCTTGCCGGAGTGCCATGACCTGTTCCCCCTGGTCTCCAGCTGAGCTGTCAGCACTCTGTGCCTCTCAGGGGCGCAGGCACTTGGCCCCCACCAGATGACCACTTTGTCTTTCCTCCAATCTCTCTGATCATACTTTTCTAAGTCTTCTTGGCGGGGAGGATCAATTCCCCTTGTCTCCGCGTGGATGTCAAAAGGTGTGACCTACTAACAGTCCAAGAGGGTTTCCTTGATATCCCTGTCTTGGCATTTCTTCCTCGGCAAGCTTCCCTAGATCTGTAAGTGATAATCCATTTCAAGGTTGTGCAGGGCAATTGCCTGGATGATCTCTGACTACTCCCTCGCTTATAGCCCACGTTCAGCAAGTGTCATTCCAGAGTTTGACCTGGCTGCCGACCTCACCCATGTCCACCTTCACTTCATTTTGCACACAACACCCCAGGGGGGCTGGCTTTGGGTGTCAGCCATGTCACGTCTCAGCTCGAACCTGCCAGAGGCTCCTTGGCTCACTCCCAGTTTATAGAATGATTTTAATGATCTCTCCTTGGTTACCTGAGCCTCACCTTTTCCACTCACATTACCCCCACCCCCTCTGTTCCTCAGATCCATCAGAAACACTCCTACCTCTGAGACTTTCCACTGTTTCCTCTGTCTGGAATGTTCCTTGCCAAATATCTACACGGTTCATTTCTTTACTGACTTCAAGTCTTCATTCACATGCCACTTCTCAGTAAGATAGTCCTGGCCCCCTCCCCTGAAATGACAACCTCTCACCACCCCTTTCCCTCCACCTCATTATTTCTGCCAGTCTTCCTGGTGCTTCCTGCTCTCTGACATGCTATGTGATTGCCAGTCTCCTGACTAGAACTTAAGTTCTGTGAAGACAGGGGCATTTCACTGTTTTGTTCATTGCTGCCAGCCTAGTGCCTGGCACAGAGTAGACCTTGAATCGGTGGATGGGTGGAAGGTAGGGTGTTATAGCAAATGAACTGGAATGTATTTCTGTATGTTATTAATATTTACTGGCTACTTCATTTACTAATTACACAGAGAAATGTCTCCCAACTAGGCCCTTTCTCTCTGTGATCAACTCCACTGTTGTTTCTTCTACTGCCTCAGTGGTTTTTATAGCTCTTCCTAGGCATGTTCAGCTTCTGCATAATGGGGTGTCATTGAATTATTCCTGCACTGGCTCTGTCCCCTGCGCCTTATACTAGCCTCGGGGTGAAGCATTAGTCACAACAGCATTGATAAGGAGTGATCATACCTGTTTTGCTTTAAAAAAGCTATCTAGTTTCTGAGCTGAAAAGAATCAGCAAATACACTATATTATCACCTTGGAGCAATGACTGAAAGGCTAAGATACCACTTTCATTGAAACAGACATACCATTTGTGGCAACATCCTTCCTCTATATTTGTTTCAAAGGACAAACACATGTTTTGAAGACAAGAATATAGTTTCCCAGCTGCAGACTTGCTTTTTCTGCCAATCGATCCGTTTTCCAATGCCTTCATAATGCAATCACATCAACTGCGTCAGCTGGACCTCCCCAGTACACCTGGTCTCTGCTCCCTTCCTACGTCTCGCAAGCATGCCACAGCACATGCCACTTCATGCTCTCGATTCTTTTTTTGGGGGTATGCATCCCTTGCCCCATGCCCCTACCACTGTTCCACCACCATATCCATGACAGAAGGAGGCAGGCTCCACGCCACCCTCCTAGGCAGGGCTGGTGGAAGACAATGAGCAGACCCTGCAGGTTCCTCCAGTCATAAGGTAAAAAGTCCATGGTGAGAGCAACGGAGTCTCCAGAGGCTGCTTCCATCCATATCCAGGAGGATGAAAACCCTGGCCGTGCTCTGTCCTGCAGGGTGGGGTGGGCAGTTCATTACGCTCTTCCCAGGGCTGGGCCAGAAACACAGGTAGATGGGCCTTGTCAATGTCACCTGCTCCAGCAGCAGAGAAATGTGCTCCAGGCTGCGGACTCCCCACAGGTTACTCACTGAATGGCAAGGCAGGGGAGAACATACTTCTCCTTGGAAGCTTTGGCTTTAGGTAGAATAACCATGCATTTCTGGGGTAGGCAAGCCGCAGATACTGCATGTCTTTAATAATATGCCATGAAATGTGCTTAGCACCATTAATCATGAACTAGGGGATCCCCTAATGTAAGGAGAAGAAAACAGCCAAATGCCAGCTCTTAAGTGTCAGGAGTGAGCTTCTCACGGGCCACAGTAGCCATCGCTAGTCAAGCGAGCACTCCACCATCGCGTCAGCAGTGGGGTAGACACTGAAGACCCTCTGTGGCCCCGGGGCTCACTGCCATCATTCATCAAAGGCCTAATTTTGCAAAACTACTTAGGAGGGCTCGAGGCGGCCTCAGGTTGCTTAACTGGGTTGTTACCTCTCCCTTGTTTGTGTGTTTTAATTTTGTATTTGCCTCTTGAGCAGAGTCATCAGGAAGCGAGTCGTTGATAGAGGTATTAAATCAGCCTTTGAAATGTGGGAGCAGAGACTGCGTTCTGTGTCAACGTCTCTGGCTGTCTTCTTCCCTTCTTTCTCCTCCCGTTCCTTCTCCCTGATTCCCAGGCAGCAGTGAGATACGCGTAAGTGGACGTCAGTCAGGGGGGTTTGAACACAATGGGTAGGACAAATGACTGCTCACACGGCCGAGAAACCAGACTCCCTAGGTTCACACGCGTGTGCGCAGGTTCAGGCACGCACCCACAGGACTTAGGGTACCCCCACGGGACTTAGCACCCTAACCAGATACCATCATGTTCCTGGGACAGCTCTCCTCACAGCTTTGACCTGCCTGCTCCTGAAGGATGGAAGTGTACGAGCAATAGTAGTGGACACCGGCTGTCCCTCGGCCGGTCTCCCTAAACGTGGTGGGTGCTCCCATCTCCCACTTGGCTTAGGGGACATTTCTGGTTTCCTGCCCTAACCTGCCTCACGCCATACAGCAAACCTGATTGGCTGTTGAAGCCACTTGGCTCCTTGACTACCCTAGAGGCTCAAAGTCTAGGAATAAGGTTTTCAGCCAGGCTGCTTGAGAGGACCGGCGTGACCAACTCGAACACGCGACCAGAAAGGAAGATGCACACGGGAAGAGGAGAGGAAGGGCGGGGCTGGGCCACAGCTGAGTCAGGCGAGGCAGAGGGAGACCGAGCTAGCCCAGTGTTGCCAAGTGGGCCCTGCACCGCCGTCCCCTGGAGGGGCTGCTCGGACACAGGGTTTGAGACCCCACCCCAGATTTTCTGAGATAGGAGATCTGAAGTGGGGCCCCCGAGTTTGCATTTCTGGCAATTTCCCAGGAGATACTAGTGCTGCTGGCTTCCGCTGAGGACTGTCAGGCTAATCCAGTGAAAGTCGGGAACTCCAGGGCACCCCGTCTTTCCCACTGGTGGGAGTCACTACGATCTCTTCACTTGCAGCCCAGCAACGGACAACCGAACAATCTAGGTGGACCCCAGAGCAAGCAAGGGCTTCAGTTCAGTGCCTAAAGTCTGATGACCTTCTGTCAAATCCCCCTGGGCTTTCCAACCCTCCCGCTTAGCACGTCTCCAGACCTGACCTCCGTAGGAGAAACCTCTGGCTCCCTTCTTTTGAGAAAGCTCAGTGGCACCCGGAAGTCGATTGTACAGGGCGTGAGAATCCGATTTTCCAGTTGTTGCTTGGGGGAAGTTGCTCCTTTTGAACAAACCTGGAGCAAGAAGCTGGCCCCTGCCCAAAGAGAGGGGGCCTGGAGGAACATGTCCAGTTTGAAAATAGAACCCATCATACCAAGATCTCAACTGTCTCTTACGATCAAGGGCTCTAAAAGGAACGCGAGGATTTCCAGAGCAACAGCAGTTATAGCACACCCAGGAGTAATTTCTAAGAGCAGCAAATAATCACAACCAGTGAGGCCCGCTCTGCTCCTGGAAGACAGACAGGCTGTAAAGGAAGACCTGTCTCCTCCTGCTCCAGAAACCTAGCCCAGGATGGAGGGGGGCTGCTTACTGTTTCGGGGCTTCTCCTCATCCATGCCTTCATCCTCGTTCTCGGGGTCGATGTCTTCTGCCTGAGTGATCCAGTCCAGGTACCCTTTAAGGTCCTCTTCCAGTTGCTGCTTCTCTCGCAGCTTTTGGAAGTCCCCCCGAGCCTTGGCCTTCTCCCTCTCTTTGGAAAACTCTCTGGTGAGAGAGCAGAGTGGGCAGAGCAGGGGAGTGCAGAAGAGGAGGGCACCGGTGGGCATGCGGGAGAAATGGAGACAGGAGGAAACACAAGTGTTAATTGTGTTGCACTAGGGAGCAGCCCCACACCCCGACTCCCCACAGACAGCTCCCTCTAGCACCCCAGTTTCGTCTTTTCTCTCACTGACTTTCTCTCAGAAAGTCACTGACGGGGACATTCTTGACCCAGGCCACGAGGGTATCAAGGGATGGATTAAGTCCATTTCCCTTTATTCTGGATCCTGACCACAGACTTTGCCTTTTAATAACAACTGTTCTCCAGTGGCCTGGAAGCCCCTTCCCAACAATAACCAACCCCCTCCATGACAGCTGTAGGTCATGCATTTGCATCTGAAAAATTTCCCAGGTGTCTCCAGGTGAACAGAGGTGTTGGGACACCCGTTGGCCCATACTGGGTCTTGAGAGCCTCTGTGCTCAGCTCTGCTCGACTCTGGCTTCAGTGATGTCTCCTTGGTGCCTTGAAATTGGCCATGGTAGGAATATTTACACCATGGAAATTGGCAAATGTTATAAACCAGACCTTTTCCCCCCTCAAAGAGCCAGTTGCTAAATAGTTACCAGTCCAATACCCTGGAGATTTAATCTCCTTAAGCTCTGTTCTCATTACTGGAGTTCGTTCTGCCACTCTTAGTATGCCTGGAAGGATTTCCAATCTAGAGAAAGTTCTTTCCCACATGGAGACAAGTGAGGATTCCAAACACAAGAAAATGTCCTGGGGGCTGCCCTTGTGCTTAGAGAAGATCTAATCAAAATGGAAAAATATATAAAATCAAGATGATATAAATGTTAAATGATGCATTCAGTTTAAAGTAATAATGAGTAGAAATTGGAATTGGATAGGGATTTTCTGGAAAAAGGGTCTACTGAAAAATTTGTCAGAATGGCGATTTCTGTTCTATTTTCTAGGATTCTGTCCTTACTTTCTCTCTGGCTTCCAATTTATTTCGTGAGCAAGGAAGGGGCTGGCAGGAGAAGGCTAACTCTCAACTCTGAATGCAACTCTATGCCTTTTCTTCCAAAATAAGCAGACTGGAGCATGTCTGATATTCAAAACACGGTCTATGGGAGGAGGGACAAGGCGGTGGTGATGGTGGGGGACGGGGTTGTGCATGTCACAAGCACTGGGCATCTCGGTTAATTCTTGGAGAGAGTGACTCTGCTTTTGCTCACCAGGAAGTGGCTAGCTCAAGGAAGGAGGCTGCAGAAACCTCCTTGAAGGGATTCCTTGGACCAGCCAAACATGCCACAGGGAACAGCACACTGGAAGGACGGTCACACCAACAAGCCACAAGAGGACCCGGACTCAGCTCTGGAGTCCACCTGGTCCCGCAGGGCAGGCTTGACCACCGTATCGTGGCGCAGTGCTTGCACTTTGCTTGAGCTGCATGGGAGGGCACAGGCGTTAGCACTCGCCATTTCTGTGGTGGGGGTGGGGTGGGGGGACTAAGGAACTTTTTAATTGGGAGATGTGGGGCTCTCAAGCTAACGAGTTCTCTTCAACTGCTGCCTTAATGACGCTCTAGTTTGGATGGAATTTTCTTCTTAAATTTGATTGAATCCAATTCTAATTGGATTGAACTTGCTCTTTCTCAGGCTTCCTGCCAACTGGCGGGTTCCTTCATTTCCTTCCCAGGGCGTTTAATGCCAGGGAGAGAGGCCAGACTGACAGCTCTACGAGACGGCAGCTCTGTCTTGCTGTTGCTTCTCCTTCCTTTGGCTGTTGGGGCTGGGCATGGTCACAGCCTATCTCCTCATGCCTCCGGTCCTGGCTGTCCACTCTTCTCTGGAGTCTGTCACGTAGGTGGTGGTTCCCTCCCTGCCTGTTGGAGCAAACCAACTCCAACAAGTGGCCCTGGGACCCTGCCTGTCTCTGCTCACACGCGTCTGTGCTTGTGTCTCCTTTCCCGTGGGGTGAGTCATAGGTGCCTGAGCTGAGCGAGGGTTCCTGCTAGCGCCTGTGGATGACTTTTCAGAGGGACCACTCGAGTTCTCATTACAAAACAACAACCCATTCTTTTTCTAGAGTCAGGAGGACAGGATTGGGGTCAAGTGACCGATCAACTATTTGGTCCAGTGCCCCTCGCTGCCCTGGATCAAAATGGGAGTAGGGACAGCTGACCTGGCATGAGAGCTCACTGTCTGTGCCCCAGCACCTCAGGGGCACCAGGAAAATGTCCATGGGAGAAAAGGAAAATGGAATGTGTGTTGGGGTCTGGGGCGGAGAAGTGGCAGGGGCATTGCTGAGGCCCACAGGGCCCCTGGGTCCCCTGGAGCAAGGGGCAGACCAGGCTTATTTGGATGGTCCGGGAGCCAGGGTCTCCTGTGCAGGCCCCGCGCAGTACAGGACTTGCTGGGTGGCGCTACCTGGCTCTTCATCTCCTCACGTGGATGCCAGCCATGTGCTGCTCTGGACTAATGAAGATGTGAAGCCCCAGCCTCACAGGCTGTGCCAGACCCGGGGAGCCGAGCTGGCTAGACAATCAGTCACAGCCCTGGGAATTGTCACGTGGCAGCAGCACCTCCTGCCAACCACGGCCGACATGAAAAACCAGGGAGGTGCACGTGGAAAATGCAGGCTCTGCCGCCGGCCTGGCTCCAGGCCTCTGATAATCAGAACAGTCGATCCTCATTATTCACAGGTTTTCTATTTGTGAATTGGCCTCCTCGCTGGAATGTATTTGTAGCCCCCAATCAATGCCTCTATGCCTTTAGCGGCCACACACAGCCATGTGCAGAATGGCAAGAACTGGAGTCACCTTTCCAGCTGAGGCTTCACCAGGCAATGCTGTCTTTCTGTTTCTGTGCTCATCCTGCTAACTGTGCCCTTTATGGCCTATTTACTTAGCACCATGCTTTCTCTACTTCTGTGCCTTTTGCTGGTCATTTTTTCTGTTTAAAGTGACTTCCAAGCATAGGCACTGTGCTGTGTAGTGTTCTGAAGTGCAGGGAGAAGCTCTCAGGTGCCTGGTAGAGAAAACACATGGTGAGCCCCACCAGGCAGGAGACACATGCCATTGGCTAAGGGCTCGAAGTTAACGAAACGAACATGGATAGTAAAAAAGGTGTCTTTAGATAGAAGCACAGAGTAACCAAGAGACTGGCTGGCAAAAACGTTACGAGGTTCTCAGGAACCTAGCCCCGTATTTCTTCTGAGAACAGCAGCCAGTTCACTGTCTTTGGTGACTTTCTAGAATGCTGCCACTCGGGCAATGAGAACCGACTGTTGAGATCTCTTCTGCTCCTACCCACAGGCGTGCAGGTCTTGTTCTGCTCCTGCTTCCGCCTGGACTTAGATGCTGTGTCTTAACCATGGCGCCCTGTTCCTGTCATCCTTTCAGCTGGTAAACTTGCTGACCCACTGGCTCCTCTGCTTCTTGGGGGAGAGAGACATGCCCATGTGTCAGTGGACATGTGTCCCCAGTTCAGAGATCCGGGCCCTTGGTCAACCCGGGCACCGGTCTGCTCCCCCTGTGAAAGCTCCCGTAACAAGAGAACGTCACCAGCTGCAGTCACTCACAGCTTCAAGTCCAGCATTGAGAATCTTCTCATCACCCTCGTTTTAATTCTAATAGATTGAGATTTCTGGAGGAGAAAGTAATATAATCCTATTCTTATCTACTAATGCCAGCCCTGTGGCTTGTGGGGATCAATAGATAATGAGGATGGAAGCACTTTGAAAAAAACCCAGATGTTTATTCTCCCCACCGAGTCTATCTGGCTTCCTCAGGAGTCAGGTTTCTGGATAGGTGCATGTTCCAGATAAGGAATGCTGACCTTGGTCACCAAAGTCTCTGAACTTCCCCTTTTAGATGAAAACTTCCCGGCATGTTGTCATCCCACCCTCACAGCAGGATGCTCCAAGCACAATTCACCTTTTCTTGGCAAGTGAAGGACATAATTGGTGAGGATGAGTTACCATGTTGGGCTATAAAATATTATCCTTAATTGATGGATGTAAGGTTCACGCCCGCCAGTTCCAGAATGTTCCAGAATGCAGTGCTGCTGCATAGGGGCTCGGCTCTCTCTTATGGATTGGAGAGATCCGTGGGGCTGTGGGTCCCTGGATGAACAACCTGCCTCCAGGCAGGCTTGGCGGGGGGTGGTGGGGCTCAGCAGCTTCCTCTAGGACTTTCTCCCATGGGCTCTTTCTAGTGGCCCCTGGGGGTCACCTCAGCTGTCTGCCCCTCTTTCCTCACTGCAGCTTCTGACTATAATTGAAGGACATGGGATTCAGTGGGTCTGGGGAGAGTATAGCATGGAGCTTAGGCATCGTGGCTGTTTGCTGGGATGGGTAGAGCTCGGGTTAATCCTGGACCTTCCATTTTTCACCTGTTAGAACTGAGGTAGCTCTCTCATCTGAATCTCATATTTCTCCTCTAGCAAATGGAGATAGGCACGCACGGAGCACGCAGGGTTGTGAGCCTTAGCGGAGCTACTGTTGCTAAAGTCCCAAGCACTGCCCTGGCAGGGAAAACGCTGGCCACTATTTACTGCCCCGACAGTGAATTTCAAGGAACTCACAGACTTCTTTGAATGCTTCTGGAAGCATTAGGTTGGCTGATCAGGAGCTGGCTGATGAGTAAGTTGGCATTTTACTGCATTCTGTGATGACTGTTACCTTGTTGTCCTGGCTAATCAAAGTGTTGACTCCAAACCGGAGCTGTGTGGCCCCCATCTGGTCAGCCAGGAGGAGCCTGGCTGCACCATCATGGGCCTGTGACAGCCCTTCCTGAGCTGGGGAGGGGACAAGTTTGCCACTGACACTGCCTCGTCTGGGTGGAGGAGGGTCTGCTCGGAGGTGGGCTTGGGAGATATTACGGCAGGAACCCAGGAGCCACGGGGGCCCGACAGGCACTCTGAGAACAGGCCAAGGAGCGGGTGCAGAAGAGACTGGCATCTGGACTTGAGTGGTCTGAAAGCCTTGTTGTTCCTGCTCAGAGCCAACGAGTATTTCTGAGGATTATTACAAGCCAAGGCAGGTATTTTTCCACAGTCAATTTCATTTGGACCAAAGCAGGCTGAGATGTGATCTTCAAATGACTTTTTCCCTCATCCTGGGCTGTTGTCACTTGGCTTTGAGACCACCAGGAAGGCGAAGTTTCTGGTGGGGCCAAGGATGACTCTGGGCAGAAACCACAAAGTCTTGTCCTCACTCCCTACTTCAGATTCTGGGAGGGAATGTTGCAGATCAAATTTGTTCCTCATCTCTGGCGGAAGGGAGTGGAATTTCAATTTTAAAAGTCCAGAGCTCAAGCTCATTCATTCAACTTGTATTTACTGGACAGTGATGGGAGATGGGAGCCAGGCTGTGCCCAGGTGTGACCAGTTCTGATAGTTACCCGTGAGTGACGTCACACCGTCACTAACATCTCTGGGCTCACTTTCCTTTTTTTAAAAAAGGACTTGGGAGGTTGTAACATATGATGATTCTACCTAACGTTTGACAATTCTATCAAATGACTCCAGTAATGCGAAGCACCGAGCAAACAGACACCGTGAAGAGAGTGTCATTCTTGAGCACTGACTACCCGCTCAGCTGTTGACATAAATGATACTCTGTCACCACCAGTGGCTGCTCTTATTGTCTTAATTGTTTTCAGATGGATAATGAGAGTGGTAAAAAGGTGAAGTTGCATCCCACAGCTGCAAAGCTGGGATGTGCAAACTTCCGTCTTGATGGCAGTGATGAGGTTGACTTTTTAACACTTGCCGTAGAAGTTTCATGTATAAGCACAGGAGCATTTTCTTGCGTTGGAACATAAAAATGAAAGCTCACCCTCCAGGACACTAATCAGGGCCTTAAGTTGTTTTCCTCATCATTTTCACCCCCAGTGGGAGCATGAGCATCCTGCCTGGCCTCGCTTTGGCAAAAGGCACGTTGTCACCAACGTCTCTACTAAGTCACCCACTACCAGAAGGGCTAAGGGTGGGGACAGTCTTCGCTGCACCCAGTTAAAGACTAAATCCGATGCTCCTGCATTGCATTTGGCAGTGGCAAGAGGCAGGGAGTAGCTGTTCCCCATCTGCATTCTGATGAAAACTGAGGAGTGAACTTTCTCCTCATGTCTGGCTACCTCTCAGCATTAATGCCCCTGAAGTCTAGGAAAGCTTATTCAGAGCAGCTGACCTGCCTGAAGCAGAGCAGAAATAGACTGTCCCCTCCCCCACACAGCGAAGGCGGCAGAGTGCATCACCCATGAGCTGGTCACCAAGAGCATTTAGGTGGTGGGCCTTGGCATGGCTGGTGTGGACTTGTGAAGAGGACAGGGGCCGAGGACATGCCTGAGGAGCCTCCGTGGAGGAAAGGTGGCCATGCCACTGGGCACTCGCTGGCCCAGCCTTATGGGCTCTGGCCACTTTTTAATTCACGTGAGCAAACGCTGCAACGATGTAGGCTTTATACTTGTAGTTGACAGATACAGTTAAAGGAAGATCTTCCATCTCCTCTAGTCTCAAATAATCTATGGCTTTCAACAGCTGGGCGTCCGTTGTACTCAGAAAAGAGGAGCAGAACGGTCGGCTCAGCCTCTGAGTGAGAGCCCAGGTGATGTTTAGTCTGTATTTGTTTATTTATATCTGAAATCAAGCCTTTCTCACCCTGGCCTGTTCAGCACAGAGTCAAGGCGGCGTGAAAGCCTGCCGCTCGCCTGCTGCAAACTGGGACTGGCTCAGACAAGAAGCCTGCTTGTCAGTCAGAAGTGTGGTCTGCGAATCTGGCCTCCAAGTGCCGCTGCCAAGCCCTTGGGGCTCCACGCTGCTCCTGAGGGAGCACCCTGCCTGGGCATGGGGGAGGGTGGAGTGAGCTGGTGGGAGGCAGGTGGGCTCGGTTCCCTTGGCCAAGCCCACACCAGTGGATTGTGCATTTGCCCTTCTGCCCAGCCATGCCAAGGACGTTCACTTCAAGGCTCCCGAGGTGACCCCTTCTCCCAGGTTCATCAGAGGCAGAAAAAAGAATAAAGCCAGGAAGAGCAGAAAGAGTAAGTAAAATAAATGGAAAAATCAAGACCTTTTTCCTTGGTCCTGCTTACCCGCTAAGGACACCGAGAACCAAGTTAAGTACAAAAAATGACCCTATGATGATTAGTGTAACAAAATAGATCCAGGGCCAGTCCCTTCCTACGGCATCATTGACCTGGAAGAATGGAATGATAGTTAGTGAGGTACACGCCGCAGCCGAGCACGGCCGGCTCCCGGGCATGGACCTGGCAGCGCCGGGACCTGGGGATCCTCTAGGTGCAGACCGCAGGCAAACGGCCTGCCCAGCCAATGGGTCAGAATTTGCGGTTCGATGGAGACTTTTTGCTTCTGGTCTTGCTAGGCCTGTTAGGGCCCCATCCCTGAGGATCCTGGCGACGGCACAGCGCCCCTGGGCCCTTGCTCGGCTGCATGGTAAGGAGTTCACAGAAACAGGCAGCTTACCCGCTCAACACACCGAGAACCAGATTTAGAACGAAAAAGGATCCAAAGATGACCAGACTGACAAAATACACCCAGGGTAACTCATAGCCCATAGCGTCCTGCATCTGGAAAGATGAAGGAAAGTTAGGAAAGAGAAAGCAGATTTGAGTTACAGCAAGGAGGCAGGTGAAAGGGAGTGAACGGAAGCTGGAGGACACAGAGGAAGCTGGCCTGGCGCTTGCTCTTGGGGCTGAGGAGCTGTCACCGGGCGGTGTCTCCAGTCAGACTGCTGCCCCATGACTGGGACCTCCACGTAAGGGCCGGTGGCAGGCTCCACCAAGAGACGAAGCTTCTGGGCTCTCTGTTGCTTTATTATCCGAAACAGAGAGAGAAACATCTCCAATGTTTTTTTGTTCAGTTGCCTAAGAAGGTGGGGTACCTTAAAAATAACGTTTTCGGGCCCTCCCTGTGGCGCAGCGGGTTAAAGCACTGCACTGAGAATCTAAAGCCGCTTCCGCATGAGTTCAATTCCCGCCTGCCCCGGAGGTGACCACATGGCGTGGCAGACCTCTCCTGACCCGCCCGCTGCTCCCCTCAGCAGTGTACTTCGTCGATCTGCCTGTTCTGCTCCCCACTCTGTCTCTGGTGAAGCCTCTCACCACCCCTGAGCCTCTGGCCTGTACCCCAGTTCTGTATGTACAAATAAATAAATCTTAAAAAAAATAACGTTTTCAGCATGGATGGTTGTAGCTCAGTTGGGGATGCAAGGTCATTAAGTCTTCGGTTGTACCCCAAGACACCCTGATATTGGTGTGGGAGGCGCCTCAAACTATTTCTGATAGAGCTGGAGATCCAGGATGTCCTGAGGAGGTGTGAGCAAGGCGCTCTTCCTCAGACACTGGCCACCTGGGCCCTGGGCCAAGCCCAGAATGTAGAGGAGAAACTCCCGGGCTTCATAGGCACTATTGGCCACAGGCCCTGGGGATGGTTGTTTTGGTTTAGAGAACAGTTCCTGCAGCCATAGTCTAGATGGAAAGTCTTTAACCTGAAACTGTGACCTCTAACTTACTGAATGAAGATAACATTCTGGAAAGGTTGCAGTCTCTATAGCAGGAGACAGTGCCTTGCACATGGGGGTACTTGGCATGTGTTTGCGGAGTGAGTAAATGAACTTCTTATGTGCTGGGGCTGGTTCCTATGGGCTCGGGGTGGGGGTGAGGGCCACCGTGGGTCTCTTCCCAGATGTATGTTCAGAAATGGGCAAATGATACAGATCGCTTTGCCCTTTGCCCCTCAGAACTGGTTATTTAACATTTACCATCATGCCACTGGCCAGAGGGTAGATGTGATGATAAGTCACAGAGCAGTGATTTTATCAAAGAGGAAATTTATTCTGATTTAGTTTCTCAAATCTAGTTCTTCTGATGCTTTCTGACTAAACATGTGTGAGTCTTATCTTCCTAAAACGAAACCTTCACATTGTCCTTGTGAAGTTAGCTTATAGAAACATAAATTCCCAAGTACACAGGCTTGCTCTTGAATGACTTACACCAGCGGTTGTCAAAGTGCAGTCCTGTGGGCCAGCAGCATCATCTGGAACTTGTTTCAAACTACATACAATTGGACCTCACTCTCGAAATCTGAGGGCCAGTGGCATGTCCTATAGGTGTCTGATGCATGGTAAAATTTGAGACTCGCTGATCTGTATCACTCTCCATAGCTTCCAACTTCATAATAACACGACAAACACTGCAGTCACTGCAGACCGTGACAGATCTCCGCTCAGCTGCCTAGCAGCGTGCCCAAAGACCACCAGCATCAGAGACTGCTGGGAAAGCTGTTAAAGCGGATCCCTGGGCTCTGCCCTGTAACTGTCTCTTGATCACTCAGGAGATTCTAGACCTGGCATTTGCTGACACTACCAGGTGCCTTGAGTGAGTTCCACTTGGGCTGGCGAATAACATCTCAGACGCGGGCTTCTCAGACCCAGGATCCCTTGCTCCCAGCTAAGTATGCTGCATAATATCATGTGTTCTGTGAATAAAAAGGACGGAGGAGTCCTGAGAGACCCACACTCTTGTTGGACCCATGCAAAGTGTTAACATGCCAGTATGTTCTTTGCAAATCCATTAATGTCTACGGGGCCACACAACCTTGGGTAGTCCCGGCACACGGCACAACTGGGTTAGGGAATCACCAGTGGGAACTGAGCCAGTGAGGAAAGGCAAAGCTCACATACTTGCAAGCGTGTCCCAATGAGCTTCAACTTCACATGTTTCCACTCCTGCCTCTCCAGGCTATTTTCTGCATAGCACTTTTCACTTTCTAACTGATAACTGGCTTTGCTAGAATATAAGCTGCTCAAGGCCAGGCACTGTGGCCCGTGCTGTTCACGCCACACCCAGTGCCTACACCTGCAGCCTGCATGTGACAGGTGCTCAGGAAAAGTTCGCTGAGTGAGGGAGTGAGCTGGCATGTGCCACCACTGTGCTGCTAACAGCGGCCAGGACAGGCAGGGGCAGGCAGAAAGGCTGCCCAATGGCGGTGCAGCTGCCGTGGGAGGAAACGTGCTGGGCCGCAGAGGCACACAGGGAAGCTCCAGGGGCTGGCGTGGCCAGCGGGCCGGACTCGGCAAGGCTGCAGAGTGGGGCCACCGAGGCAAAGGGAGTCGGGAGCAGAAAGGCGGCCCAGAGGCGCGTGAGCCGTGCTGGGAATCAGGGTTTCCGAGGAAGTTGGCAAGTGTTAAAAATAGAGGGGACAGCTGTAAAGCTAGTCTGGCTCTGGGATGCAGGATTTTCCCAGTGGCGGAAGACACTAAAATATCCAGCAAAACAGCAGCTGTCAGGAGAGGCAGGGCAGAAAGGTCTTTGGGGGTCAGACCCTGCCCCCGCCACAGGGAGCCTGGGAGTGGCCTTTAACCGGAACCTGAGCCAAGGATGCAAAGAGAACCACGCCAGGCGGGCGAGGGGAGCTCAGGAAAAGCCAAAAACCGCAGCCTCACGGGAAGGGCAGGGAGGGAGGACGAGACGGGGAGGGGAAGGCGTGGGAAGCCCGAAGCCTGGGACCACATTTCATGATGGAGCCTGCAGCAGTGGAGTCAGTCTGTGTTCGCTCACCTAATACTTACTGAGCACCTACTGTGTGTAAGGCGTTGCTTACTGAGCACCTACTGTGTGTAAGGCGTTGCTTACTGAGCACCTACTGTGTGTAAGGCATGGTGCTGAGTGTGGGGGAAGCAACAGCATTGAAAACAGCCCTGAGATGGGAGAAAGCACCTGCAAAGAAACTTCTAGGGAACCTGGAACCGAGGTCCTGAGAAGGCTTTGGTGTTCTAGCTGTTCCTCTGCCAATGAAAAGCAAAAGAAGTCCCCTCCTCTTCCCGCACCAGCACTTCTTTACTCTAGAGGGAGGGCGGGCAGGTTGGGAAAAGCTGAGGGAAACTGGCTTTCAGGGGCAGAGGCACACCGCTGCACCCACTGCAGGTGGACCGGAGTCCCTGCCCTCGGCCTGCTGGGCGCCACCCCGAAGGGCCCCTCCCAGGCGTGGTCAGGGGAGCGAGCGACGAGATGATTTGTTCTCAGCAGCCCCCACCTCCTCTGGGGTCCCAGGCCACCTCCCCTTCTCAGCAGGGCAGGAGAAGCCAGCCCCAGGCTGCAGGGAGGGGCAGAAGGCAGGGCAGGGTGGCCGTCCCCAGCCTCAGAGTCAAAGCTCTTCTGACTGGCTCCTCAGAGCACATGTTTAGCCTCCCAGAAAATGCAGTCTCTGGGCCACCTCTCTGGGGAGCCACACCCGCTAGTCTGGAGATTTCCTGAGCCTGTGTTTAGTGTGGCTGCTCTCTCCTTGAGCGTACAGGTGTGAGTGACTGTTGCTGTCATCAAAGACCTCAAGTGGAGGGAGCGACAGACGCCCTATCCTGTAGATGCCACAGGAGCCCACACATGCCCTCGGGTCACCCCCGACCTGCAGACACCCCAGGCGGCCCCACACCATACATGTCCCACAGAGACTGTGGGTCTCCTCCTTGGCTGTGGGCTCATTCTTTCAGAGGTGTAAGGGGTGGGATGTAGGATAGATGAGAGCTAAGCAGGCTTCCAAGGCGGTCCTGAGGCCCCTCCCTCTCTCCGTGAGACTCGTTCTCTGGCCTGCCTGCTTCTGGTCTGCAGGGAAAGAGCTTCCTCTCTTCCTCCTCTTTATTCTAGGCCACCTACTTTTGGGGGCAGCCAGCGTACAGCGTCCAATGTTGGGGCTCTGAAGTAGGCCAGTGCCTGGAGTGATGAGATTAATGTCTTAAATCAGCTGGAAAGTAACCATTAAGAAGAGAAAGAATAAAGAAAGACATATTTTTAAAAAATGACCCAGATTGCTGACACCTTTAACGGTAGAAAGGGGTGCATCTCAAGTCATGCCGAGATGTTTCCCAGCCTATAACAAAGGCAGCTGAGTGACCTGCTGAAGGAGGCACAGGAGAGGCCCTTGACAGTCGCCATCTGCAGCCGCTGGGCCTGGAGAGCCGGGAGCTCACAGCAGGGCACCCGCCTCGCTGAACACACTCTTACTGTCCCAGGGTTGGGAGACAGAGCACAGGGAACACTGAATGGAAATGCAGAAGACCCTTTATCTAATTCCCTGAGGGGGAGCCTCAAACCTTCAAATCCCTCATGTATATTTCCACAAAAATTAAAAAAAAAAAAAAAAAAAAGCAGAAACAACACCCTACCCCTTCCAGGCTTCTCTCGAGCCCAGCTGACTTGCCTGGCTGTTCCACTTGGGTCACTTCCTCTGAGGCTGGTGGTGCAGGCTCTGCGCATGGGTCTAAAAAGACTAATAGTATCAGCAAGGCTGTCACTGTTGCCATAAGCAAGGGATATTCCAGCAGCAACAAGACATGTGCAGCTATCATCCGTGTGTGTGTGTGTGTGTGTGTGTGTGTGAGAGAGAGAGAGAGAGAGATTAGGGGTCTCTCCCCGTATGTCCAGATTTGTAAGACAAAGTGAAGAACTGATTACTGACTTCTAGACTTCTGTTCTAAGGTCTTTTGCAGAACCCAAACTGATCCAGATAATACACAAGCCACTGCCCATGATTCTAGAAACATTTCTTGATGTGACTTCACATTAAGTCACACAAAAAGACTAACTAGTATCAGCAAGGCTGTCACTTGCCATTAAAGGCAGGAGGTGAAAACCCATAAAAGCCACAGTGCTTTTTACAGGAGAGTCATTAGAGGACTAGGTTTGTTGGGCAAAGCTCCATCAATCTGTGACTACTTGTGACCTCTGTCACCTTGCTGATTGGGACAGGGGTGTCTACCCATGGGTCACTGAGTGAGCAGCAAGTCAGAATGGCTTTCAGCCAGTTCCTTTCTGTCCCTGCTCATTGTGGCAGACAAGCTGTCTGAGCTGCTGGGCACAGAGCAGCCAGAACTGTGCAGAGACGACACAGCAGCCTCCAGCACAAAGACAAACCAACAGAATGGACTCAACCCATGAGCTCAGACAGGCCCACACACCGGTGTCCCCGGGGAGGTTAGAGCTGAAGCATACAGAGGTGGCCCCGGGTAGGAACACCTGTGTGGGGGACTTGGCTTGCGGTTCTTGCTCCTTATCTGGCTTCAAGGTCAGTGCAATCCACCTCAATCTGACATGCTCTGGGCGGGGTGGCCTGGAGCTGGGGAGTTGTGCTTCTTTGTCTTCCATCTGTCCCATTAGACTCCAGTCTCCCTGGGGGCAGGCTTTCTCCCCTTCCCCACCTCACCTCCCCCACTCCAGAAGCTGCTCAGTTCTGGGCTTGTGAAGTCAAACTATTAAATGACAAGGACTCATCTACTACCAGTGAAATTAATACAAGAAAACCTAATAAGTAAGTAGATAAAAGCTTTGAGAGATGCTAGTTCTCTTTTTGATGTGCTTAGAAACGATTAGTTTATTGTTTAGAGAATCGAGTCTGTTTCAAGCTGCATGGGCACTAAAAGGGGAGATGCTAACAGAGGCAGATTAAAAGTCAAGGATACAGGGCCTCTGCGAGAACTGTCTAAAGAAGGCCGCCAATTTTTTTTTATTGGATCCCCTCCCTCACTGTCATAGAGTGATATAAACTTTCTGAGAGTAAATGGGAAGGCTTTGACAGGAGAAGTTATTTCCCAAGGAAACCACGTCCCCAAACCTGAGTTTTGACTGTTTCCAGAGGTCCAGTGTGCCCTAGTCTTCACTGTGCCATCTAGAGACTTCCAGAACACGAATGAAATGCTTGAAGCAAACTTTTCTGCCAGTTGGGGCCTCAATTCTATTAGCGGCCAAGGCCTTTCATGGTTGAGGCATTACTGGAGTATTACTTGACCAACGTTGATTTTACTTTTGGTTGAATAACTTCAAAATCATAATAACAGGATGGAATAATGGATGCCATGGAAAATGAGAACTAGATTGCCTATTAACTGCAATAGGAGGCAGGTGTCTGCCATTTGCTTCTGGTGGCCTCTCTGGTCCTCCCATCGTAGGCTGTATCTAGTGGCCAAATCCACTGCTTCTTTAGAACTTGAGTGCCTAGTCTCTCCCCAGGAATATTCAACCAGCTGTTTGGCAGTTTGGAATGAACTCAGCTCTGAGGTTTTCATTCACTGTTCTCCTCAAAATCTTAATTGTTTCTTATCACATGCTTTAGACTTATCCCCTAAGCTTGAAGAGAATGCATTCTTCTAAGTGGATGACCCTACTTCCCAGTTTCCCCAGACGTCTTCTCTCTAGGCTGGTTCTAATCCAGTGGCATCAAAGCGTACCATGCACAAACAATAGGTTCCACCTCAAAGGCTTTTCAAACTCTGGTGTGGGCCTAAGAATCACCTGGGGACATTTTACCAAATGCAGATATTGGGGGCTAACTCTGGAACTCCAGATTCAATGGCTTGGGCGGAGGTGTGGGTAGCTGTGTATTGAGAAAACTCCATGTCTCAATTCTAAAGTACAATGAGGTTGTATAGTCTGTGGGTTCAGAGATACAGACCTAGAGGCAAGGAAGAGAAATGCAGGAAGGAAGAGAGAGCAAGAAGTAAGAAGTGGCCGGAGAAAGGTCAGAGCAATTAGAGAAATCTTTAAAGCAGGAGCAATGGGCTGGGAGGTCTTCCCATAATGAACACCCAAGTAGGAGGTTCTGTTTCCACTTTAGATGTGTGTGTACGTGTGCACGCACACACATGTGGCAATGCACACACACACACACACAACGTGGCATGTCAGAAAGGCATGTCCCATAAGCCTGGGATTGTTCCTTCACCTCTGACACTTTCTCCATTCCAGTCTGCTCTCTGTCACCCCCCCCCCCAACAGGGGAGAAAGCACAACACAGCTGCTGCAAATTGGTAGTTGCAGTTGTGAGCTTCTTTTCACTCCCCACTCTGGCTGTCATCATGACAGTATTTCTTTGGGCCACATCTGGCTGGTGGGGTATCAATGACTCGTGGTGGGGAAGAGGGAGGGAGTGATGAAGGAAGATCACAAAAATACATCAGGGCCATCAGCAAAGTAAATTATACCTAGTCCCCCCAACCACACACCCCCCACCCACTGCCACCGTGCCCCCAATTTAATGCCATGGAAGGCGTTTCCCTGGCAACTTAAGGCACAGGTTTGAGCTCATGAGGCTCCAGAGCACAGCTCCATTCATCGTATGTTGTAAGAACACGGAGGAAACTTCCCCACGTCGAAGGTTCTTTCCTCAGCTGTTCAGAAGGATCCACCCAACACTGAAGAACCAGTGAAGACCCTGGGGGAATCTGCTCTGCTTTGATAAATAAAATAAATTTGACAAAGTATAATAGGTCCAACTCCCTCTCTTTGTCTAAATTACTGCAAACCAAGCTCCTACAGAGCATGTGCCCAGAGACCTTTTTGCAATGTTTCATTTTAGTGGAGGGAGGGCTGACTTGAATCTTTGGAAAGTATCACCACGTGGGCACGCCAGCAGGGTGGGCCCTGCTGTCCTGCTGTTACTTGGCTGAGAACTTAGCTTCCAGACTGAGCTTTGCAGCTTACTGGATATTACTATGTGTGAATTCTTCGTACCTAGGAGCACCCGTGGCAGGCAAAGGATGCTCAATAAATGTTTGCCGGGTCCAAGGTACTCGGGCAAGCCTCAAGTAGTTATTTGCAGAGAGGTTCACATTTCACAGCAACACTGGTCTTTGGCATGTCAACTCTAACACAAAAACTAGGAAAAGATTTTTGAATCAATAGGACATGATGCTTTTAAAAACAACGAGAAGATACAACACACGGTATCATCTCTGCTCTGTTCCAAAACTCTTGTCTTCTGACTCAGGAAGAAGTCAACACCTCTCCTGGCATCCGTACCTGCCCCTCACTCCTCCCTGGCTCAGTGTGCAGACACTATTCCCTGGGCAGTTTCTTAGATTGTTCTCAGGGTGGCTAAATAAATCTGACTATTTGCAAAACTCTGGGTGAGATGGCATTTTCAAGACTGGAAACAAGCATTTTTTCACCCGAATGTTGGAGAACAGCACTGCATCCTGGCAAGGGATTTCATATGCTGAAGAAGGAGCTACTACAAAGAATTATATTTTCTGGAGTTTTTACAAATAATGGATTCTGCCAGAATGGAGACAGCTCAAGTGTATTTGCCTATGGGGCAGGCTGTATACAAGTCTGGCACTTCAAAAGCCTGAAGGTTGGCAAAGTCATGTTGGCTGCTAGATAATAAGAGGGCATTATTTTAGTAAAAGAAGATGTACTATTTATGGGTTGACACTCAAGAAGTGACACTTCTGGGTATGCATCACATAACCAGCATAGTGTTTTGTTAGTGTTGAAAATGATGACAATGCACTTGCCTGCTGGATTATTCTAAATTGATAAGGTAAGGTTAACATGAGAAATCAAATTACAATTGCATGCCATAATGCTACACTATTCGTTAAAAAATGGTTTCTTCATATAGTTTCTTTTTAGAAGATCAGGCCAGTTCTAAAGATGAATAATGCTGTCCAGCTCTCTTTTGGGGACAGAGGTAACAACAGAAGGAGGCTGTGTCAGGCCTGGCCAGCTCATTCACAGAGCAGCACTGCACACCAGGGTGTCTCACTGGGTCGGACAGACAAAGAGCATTTCTCTTAGGCTGGTAAGCAGAGAGAGACACTCATTAGGGTGAATGTTTCATGCCTTTTTTCTCAGGCAAGCCCTGGAAAAAAATCGAAGACCCTCATCAACTATCCCATCAAGGTGTCAAATCATGGGGAGGCTGCAAAGGGCGTGACCTTGGGGAAAGCCTTGCCACCCTGGGGACCCCTGCGTCCACTTGGCCCGAGTACATACCCAGTACAGCACGTCCGTCCAGCCCTCCATGGTGATGCACTGGAACACTGTCAACATGGCGAAGGCGAAGTTGTCGAAGTTGGTGATGCCGTGCTTGGGGCCGTCCCATCCCGGCTTGCACACTGTGCCGTTAGGGCACTGCCGTCCGTGGCCTGACTCCAGAGCACAAGGCGAAGGCTCGTCTTCTGCTGGGACATCTTAAATGGTCGGGGTGGGGGAGGGGTAGCGGGGGGCGGGGAGAAGGAAGTGGGAGAGGCGTGGGTGAGAAAGGAGAGAGCAGTCAGGGAGAAAGGTGGGAGGATGGGTTCGATGGGGCGGGCAAACCGCACAGTGACCACCGTGCAGAGCAAGTTCCGATTAGTGCCCCATCCCAGACACACCGTGAGGAGCCAGGATTCATTTTAGGCTACCATCGCTTTAGAATATCAGGACTTTGAGCTAAGTGTTTGGTAAAACTTGCTTTTAACCTCAGTGATAAAATATTAAGCCCAGTGCCCACCTGGTGGTAATATGTCAGCATCAGCAGAGTCAAATGACCACTCAAAAAATAATGATGAAGAGACCCCTGAGGGTGGCAAATGTTCTACAGTGAACTGGGAAGTCCACCTTTTCTTCTTTTTTCTAGTGATAAAGCATCTATGGACATTTCTGTTGGAATACTGGAATTTGGAGTGAGGGCACCACAGATCAGAAGACTCTTTCACATAATTGGCCAACAGATCCTATCCGATACCACTTTCTGAGCACAGACGGGTCCTTTACTTACCACATGGTACATTATCAGGGGTGCCAGTCACTTTGTGGTGGAAGCCTTACTTCGATGGAACATAAAAAAGAAATCCTGACAGTAGACTACAACAGTAGTCTTGATAGCCACTGAGAACAAACACCACTGGCGGTAGTTTGTGCGTGTCTTAGGGGCTCTGCCCTCTGCTCTCTAGCAGCAATAGCATTTGGAAGAGAAGAATCACCTTCTGACCTCTCATGGAGATGGAGCGGTTGTGGGCGATAGGGGTCCCTAGGTCTGGAGGAGGCTTTTGCAGGAAACAGTGGAATATAAGGTGTACACTGTGGCTTCAGACAGTGTTTGGGCCAGTTTCACAGGCTGGGAATAGCTACTAGAAAATTAATGAGCTGAGAAATAATTCATATCTATTGGTTTGGAGTTCACTGGTAAATTCATTTATTTAGTGATTGATTTTGAGGTATTTTTAATTTTTATTTATTGTAATCTACCTCCTCTGACCAAACTTTTTTCACTAGTAAATTTAAATCAGACTTGGTACATCGAAGAATTTCCATTAAGGTAAAATACTGGGAAAGTTGTGGCTTCAGCTGTGAAAGGTCAAGTGTGGAACTCACAGGAGTATGTAAAATGGTTTAGGGCTTGCAGAAAGCAACAGTAATGGACAGGGTGGACCTCAGCTCCAACAAGCATACAATTTCCTCTAGCAACAGTGAAAATATGGCTCCAGGGAGAGACTTCGCTGTAGTTCTGCACTGAGAGGGAACTGGCCATCCAAGCCCTTCTCTTATTTCATATATATCATAACAATCCCAAGTCGCCAGTTAGCTCTGTGTGGAGGACCGCTGGTTGGCTGTCTGCTTCTTGGTTTGTGGTTTCACATTGGAAGCTCATTCCCAGAGGAAGGCAGGAAGAGAAATATTTAATCTTTAACAGAGAGATAATTCTTCGGAGAATGGAATTAAGCAGGAGAAAATATGCTAGATTGTGTCTTCTTGGCTTTTCTGCTCTCTCTTTTAACAGCTTCACTGAAATACAATCTCCAAGCTTTACAATTCATCAATGTAAAATCCGTCAATTTATATAGCTGTGTCATCATCACCACAATCCTGCTGAAAACATTTCACCATCCCCTCAACCCCCCAGCCGCTGTTTGCAGTCAATTTCTCTTCCTATCTCCAGCGCCTAGCAACCTGATCTGCTTTCTGTCTCTATAGTGCTGCCTCTCCAGAAATGTCAGAAATGTCATACAAATGGAGTCATAGGAGACGTGGCTTTTGGTGTCCATCTCCTGTCACTCAGCGTAGTGTTTCTGAGGTTGATCCATGCTGTTGCATTATCCAGGCTGCTCCTTTTACTGTTGCTCATCTACTCGCTAGCAGATGGACACAGAGACTGTTTCCAGGTTTGGGCTGTTGTGAATGATGTTGCTTCCTGCCTTGTTCTTGACCTGGGGCTTCGGGCGGTGGGGAAGCCCCTGTGTGCAGACCCAGCTGTAAAGGTCTCCATCACCATCCCCTGGACTGCAGGAGGGGTGACCGTATCTGCATCACTCCAGGCAGGGCACCCAGGAGGAGCTATGAAGGTGGATGTGTGTGTGACGCTGGTATTTTGAGGTCTTTGGAGATTGGATGTGCATTTAAGCCAGGGGTGATTCTAAAAGAAGGGCAACCAGAAAATACAGAAAAGTGGATGCCAAGCACATAGAAAGGCTGAGAGTTGAGAGACTGGCACACCAAGAAGCAAAGTGATCATCAGCGATGCTGGGTTCTCATCCGTTCTAGGGGTGGCTTTTTAGGGAGCAGTGTTCAGCCACTGTGATAACAGGGACAGGAAGAGAAGGTGAAAGAGCAAATGGGGAACTTGGTTTTCTTTTCTCGTTTTGCTTTTTAGTGCAATAAAGATGCTGTTCATCTTTGCTTTGTGACTACTCACTGACAATTTCCCCTGCCTTTTCAATTGCTGAAATAGGCAGAAATAAGGAAAAGCTGAAGGTTACCAAAGTGAGTTCATCTTCCAGGATGAAAAACATATTTTGGAATTTTACAAATATATGTTGAAAAGAAAGAGGCACCAAGGGGAAGTGGTCTTGTTAGTGAAGGAGAAAGGGGTGTGATTTTGAAAGATTATCTCGAGGCTTAAGCATCACGCTGCTATTTTAAATCTGTCTTAAACCACAATAAAAAAAGATTTGAGAACAATTAAGAAGCCATGATGATCTGGTAAAAATAGGTATCTATAAAAAGCACGAGAGGGAACACTCAAAAAAATGTGAACACACACACAGGTCCTAGTGACGAGCACTCGAAGGTGAGAAATCAGCTTAACCATGAACCTGGGTTGGTTTCTTCTGAAGACTCATGAAGTGTCAGGGAGGAAAGTAGGAACATGAGATGGGACAGAGAAACAAAGCAAAGTGGCCCTCACGTTTTTAAAACTAAAGCAAAAAGAAGTAGAGTCATTCTGGAAAGTTCAAATTAAGTTTGCGGTAAAATAATGGAGGCAAAGATTAGGAGCGATTTCAGAAAGGCAGTTAATACCAGCAAGAAAATGAAATCCTGGGAGAAAGCCAGTTAGGGGCCCAAGGAGAATTCACTGAAGACAAAATCAATTACTTTTGTAGGACCCAAATTTAAGGAGTGAATAGAATGAGATTCATTTCATTTCTAGGTTTTAGCCAACCCATTCTTTGCCAGTCTCAGGGGTAATGGCTGTGTTTGGGGGAGCTGTTCAGAATGACCTGGCTCCGAGCACCGTCAAACAGATGGGATGATGAGAAACAAAAGGTGTGGCCAGATGGTGATGTTTCTGTTGAGAAACGAGAGAAGTGCCTTGCACCGGCCCTGGGGATGGGAGGAATGGCTCCTCAGAGACCATCTCTTCTGGGCACCGAAAGGGCAGCCTAGAAGAAGAACAATAGTTCATCTGGCTAGTTCCAGAATTTTCTTGCATGGCAAACATGGTACAAAATCCAGTGTATTCTAATATCTACATGCACTTGAAATTTACAGCCTGAGAAATAATCTGATAAAGAGAAACATGATGCAAATTCCACTCAAAAGTGACAATGAGGACTCACAAGCACTTCTGTATGATCTAAATTTGCAGGAAAATATGGAAATTCAATCTAAAATCTAAAAGAAAAAAATCACTCAGTCTTAAGGTCATTAAAAAAACATCTTTCCAAGTCACATGGGGATTGGTTTCAAAGAAGGCAGATTTGGCGTCTCCTACTTCACGGCTGCGTGGAGTGTCCAGATTCCTGTGTCTCTCCTCAAAACGTCCATTGCTGTGTAGCCCACGAGGCCCTGAGGACAGTGATCTTGTGTTCTGTTGAGAGTGAGGGGGTGGTTCGCTGGACTGACTTCAGATTGCGGCTTCAGCGTGACGGAGACAAGTAACTCCTGACTGTAGTCGGGAGAGGGAAGGCTCCTGCAGCCAAGTGTATTCGGCCCCTCTTCCCAGCAGGGAGGCTGGCTCCTCACAGAGGTCACCTTCCCAGTGGAGCCTGGCATTGCTCCTTCCTGGAACACTTCTCTTAAAATCTGTCCTCTGACAGTCTGGGTCCCTGGGCCAATGGTTGTTGCTGTGATGGTAGCCAACTTCTCTTAGGAGCTGCAGCGTACAGGCGACACCTACCCCAAGTTCTCTGACCAGAAGGTGTGTTCACCCAACTCCTTCTCCTGGGCTGACCATCAGGGATGGGCAGCAGCATGGTCCTACGTGGGCAGTTCCTTTGGTGGGTGGTTCTGGTCCTCCTTCTCAGAGCAGAGCGGCCACTGAGAGTTTCAGCAGGCCTGAGGCGGTCTCTTCCCCGGGCTGCCTGGTGGGACCAGCGGAGCACAGCCCATCCATGGGTCTTGCCTCTCCACTGAGGCCACCGAAGTCCTGACAACCAAGCCCAGGGAGTCCCAAGCAAAGCTCAAGGCTGCTGGTGGGGATTCCTGTCACCAACAGAAAGCAGATGTTTGCTATTCCTCCCATAGGGTGTAGGAGCCATCTGTAGTTTGGGGGAGCAGTGCTGAGTTTAGCGACTGCAGGAAGGGCTGATCTCGTTGGTTCCATGGAAGAATGCCACCATCTCACTCTTGCCTGGATGGTTTGGTGTTGGCGAGAGCCACACCATCAGCCACTGCTGATCTCTGAGGAGCGACCCCTGTGTCTGTCTGAGGACAGTCACTGAGCATCTTGGTCCAGCTATACAAATGCACATGTCACAGCCAGTTCCTAACAAGGTCCCAAAGTGAGCTTTAACAGAGCCACATGACATCAGTTTATTGGTTCAGGACTAGCTACAGATCGAAATCAACAAAAAGAGGGATTTGAATTAAGGGGGGGGGGAATCTTACTCATAGCATTATTTGGTATTTCTTTAAGCAAGGCTTGGAATCTCAGAATTTTAACTAAAACAAGACTTGTTGGTTCCAGTTTAAAAAGCTTCTAATTTTTTTAACATGATGATATATTTTATGCGGTGATGACCTAAGTAATTTGGAAAGTCCTTCCAGAATGGGCAAAAAATAGGTCCCTCTTGACAGATCCTCCATCAAAAGAGGAAAAAAAAAGAGGTGGTTAGTAGTTGTACAAATAGCTTTGTAGTCATTTTGGTCTGTTTGTGGCGTGGAGGGAGATGAGTGTGGGGAGGGGTGGCAGGTGGGTAGGGACCCCGGAAATCTTACAGATGCCTCGCTAATCTATGCAAACAGGACCATAGAGCGCAGGTTTCTGAATGTGAATGATCCACTGCTGTCCCTTCTCACCCCCTGCCCACCCCCACCAAAGCAAGAGGGGTCACATTTAATTTAGTGGCTGCTCAGAATGGGAATGAGAAGCAGTGCCGCTGCGGAGAAAGAAGTATCCTCTAATGCTTCAGAAGGATGCTCCCCTTTCTTCACCAAGATGCCAAAAACTAAGATGAAAGAGCTTATTTGAAAACAAAAATCACATAAATTTAACACTGTTAACTCCGTTGGGGGGTATTTTTTTTCCATGCGTTTTTGTGTTAAATTACTTTATATGCCTCTTTAAAAGCCTTGTCAATTCCTGATTAATGTTTATTTTAGAAGAACTTAGAACAGCTTGTTGGAGAGCCCACAGGTCTGAACCCCGGGCTTACACGGGGTGTCCAGAGGGCAGTGCTGCTAGTTTGCCGAGGACTGGAGAGAGGTCTCAGAAGGACTGTGAGGTCATGAGGTGCCATGAAGCCTTCTCCTTGGGGAAAGGAAATTTGGGGGCAGAGAGGAGGCGATTCCACTCCTGCCGTTCTCCCTCCACCCTGAGACACGGGCTGGGGAGGTTCTGCCGCTGATGGAAAGCATCAAGAGCAGAGGATCCAGGATGAGTCCCTAGAGAGTGGGGAGGACTCAGGCCGGGGACGGGCGAGCTGGCTGGTTTGTGGCAGAGCTGCCTTCAGAAAGGGCTTTTGGTGACAAGCCACACAGAAGGACTGATGAAGCAGTAGTGGTGACTCTTAAAATATTCAAGGCTGACGAAGTGATGTTTCTAGAATTGCACAGCCCCTTCATTTAAAGTGTGTAGTCGTGCGGATAAAGCTTAGACGTCCCTGTTTCACCAGACATCTAATTTAATAAAAACAAACATTAAACAGAGAGAAAAAGAATACCAATCTCTGTCTCTCACTTCACCAGAAACAGGGGTGCTCAAGTACAGGGGCCTCCCCGTTACCGCTGGCCAAGTGGTTTCAACACCTGCAGCTGAAGGATGGAAAGTCTCCATGAGCCAGGGAAGCTTCTGGGAGCTGGTCACCCAGCGGCGCCCCTCACCAGCTACGCCTGGGGGCTGGTCACCCGGAGGCGCCCCTTACCTGCTATGCCTGGGGGCTGGTCACACGGCGGCGCCCCTTACCTGCTACGCCTTCCTGGTTGTAACAGGTCTTATGCATCTTGCCCATGAAGAGCTCCAGGCCGATGATGGCGTAGATGATGATGACGAACAGCACGAGCAGGGCGATATGTAGCAGAGGGACCATGGCCTTGATGATGGAGTTCAGAACCACCTGGAGACCTGCAGCGACAACATCACAGACACGAGTGAGACCTCTGCTCCACGGCAGGGCCACGGGCGAGCGTCGATGCAGCACTGATGCTCAAGGCGTCACCGCCACTCCACGAATAGTGCATCACATGTCAGCGCTTTAGGTGAAGAAACTGAGGCTCAGGGTCACATAGTCAACAGTGACAGAATGGGGACCGAAACCCAGCTGGCAGAACTCCAGGTCTCTCTGGGAAGCACACCCAAACGAAAGGGCTGGCAGATGCTGTATTTCCATGGGAAAGAACATGCTGTTTCATCCAGAACTATCTAGCGTCTGATGTGCTACCCTCGAGGCAATCTCGCATCTTTTTATCCTAGAGCAGGGACTCAGTAAAGGGAACTTACTTTCACTAGACACGGCCACGCGGAGACTCACGGTCCAAGGAGGGATGACAAGAGCCCACGGCTGACCCGGCTGCTTTATGACAGGAAGCAGCCGGCAGGTGGGACCTTTGCAGAAGCCGGCACCCACCCAAGACACATGTGGGTCGGGGGTCCTCTCTGCCCCAAGGCCTCTTTCCCTCAGGGTCCAAAGCAGAACATTTTAGCTTTGCATTCACAAATCCATGGAAGCGAGTTTGTGTTTATTGGGAAGGTAGGGAAAGTTCTAGAGCTGGATGGTGGTGAGGGCCATGCACTTAGTGTCATGAGCTGCACACTTATCCATGGTGAAAATGGCAACTGTTGATATGCATAGAAAAACATTAAGTACTCAGATCGCTTCAGGGGAAAAGGGGAGCAAATGTAGCATCTCCTTGCTGTGCCTCAAGGGGAGTTGACCTTAGGCTTGTCTCAGGCAGGAAGAGGAGTCCCTTGCCCAGAAGCTCAACCACAGATAACACACTAAGACTGCTACTTGCTCGAGTTCCATCTGCAAGTGTCAGAGGGGGTCACCCACAAGTCACACGCACGTCACCCCCTGCTAGGCCTTCCTGGTTGGAGCAGGTCTTATGCATCTTGCCCATGAAGAGCTTCCCATGGAAGCTTCCTGGCATGGCCGAGGAGTCTGTGCAGAAATGCTTATCTTTGCATGTTATCAAGAAAATGCACATCAAAGACCACGGTGAGCTACTCCCTCAACCTGGGAGAATGTCAAGCAAGAACAGAAACAACCCGTCTTGGTGAGGGGCTGCAGAGACCCCCTGCAGTGCCATGGAACTCGGCGCAGCCTCTGTAGGGAATGGTGTGAGGACGCCTTACAACATTTCAGGATTTCAGGACCAGTACTGCTTGACTCTTAAAAAAGATGTAGTCTTGCCTTTGGGGTAACGTCGCTGGAACCTGAGATGATGATGCTAAGCTAAAGGGAAAGCTGTTACCTGATGGTTTCTCCCATATGCAGAACATAAATGCCCAAAGCCAGCGAACCAACAAATCCAAACAAAAGTAATTCTTAGAGCCTATGAAAAATATGGTGGGAAGGGGAGGGGGCAGAAGGGGTCACTCTGATGCTGGGAATGGCACTCGAACTCGGGGGGTCGCGGGGGTGAGGCTTCTGCACAGAGACGCTGCACTCCTGACATTTATGTACATTAGAAGCTGGTGGGAGTCAATGAAATAAAGAAATGGAGCTTTTGTCCACAGCCTGTGCCGAGTCTTCACAGACCAGGGGCAGGAGGAAGCGCAGGCTGTTTTTCCTTACGTTTAGTTGGGTCAGCAGATAATCCTGTGAGCCGCATCTGATCCACCTGCACTAGGACCCTCCCTGGCCCTAGGCCGAGGGCACTTTGAATGTCTCTCTGACCCCGCCCGAGCCCCCCAGCCGCAGCCACATCCTTCCTTGCACAGTACCAGGAGCCCCGTCTTTGCATTCAGCGGCCCCCGCCGCCCTGGGTCAGCGAGGGCAGGGTGACCTCGCCCAGGCCCCGTGCTGTTGCTGGGGCTGTGCCGTGTGGCCTGCTATGCGGCGAATTAGAAGAATTGTCTCCAGCTATTAAGCCAAGCTGGGGAGAGGCAAAATTAAAATAAAAGAAGAGAAAAGCTGGAATGATTTTACCTGTGAATTAATGAGAGTGCTTTGCAGCCTCCCATTAGAACAAGATGTTTTCAGATCCAAACGATTCCATTAATTAGCACGTTGTACACATATTAGTGTTCAAGTCTGCGAAACCACGGAGAAAGTGGAGCTGCAGAGAGACTCCCAGAGGTGTCTGCTGGGTGCTGCAAATGCTACTCGCAGTGGGGCCGGGGGCCTCATTTCAGTTTCCCAGGCCTGGGAGGCTCATGTGGCAAGGGGGCGGGGAGGCGCTCCTCTGGGCTCCAGCCAGCGGTCTGCTCTTGGGGCGGCCCAGCGTCCTCCCGTGCCCTTCGAGGCCTTGGAGGGTCTGGCTCTGCCCACCGCTCTATCCATTCCCACCCGGCCCCAATTCTCTGGGTTCCTGGACAAACGATTTTTATTTTAGATGCAAATATGTCCTACTTCCTCCCACCACAGGGCCACTGTGCGTGCTGTTCCCTCAGCCTGGAATGCTCTTCCATGATTCCCTCCAACTTTCCCTTGGCTCTCAGCCAAGCTTTCCTTCTCCTGGGTACTTTCCCCCAAGCTCTCAGACCAGAGAAAGTTCTTACATGTCTTAGAACCACTTCCTCCCTCCGTCCCTTTCTCCCTCCCTCTCTTCTGGATGCTTCCCTGTTTCCTAATTTCTCTATAAGAAGTGTCTTTGATTTCTTGTATATTTGGCCAATATTATTATTATCATCTTCAAAGATGTATTTATTTGTGTATACAGAACTGGGTACAGGCCAGAGGTGCAGGGGCGGTGAGAGGATTCACCAGAGACAGAGTGGGGATTAGAAAGGCAGATTGACAAAGTACACTGCTGAGGGGAGCAGCGGGTGAGACAGGAGAGGTCTGCCGTGCCGTGTGGGTCAGCTCCAGGGCGGGGATTGAACTCGCACTGAAGCAGCTGTGCTAGCTTGTAATGCTGCATCCTAACCCACTGCATCACCAGGGAGGGTCTGGCCAATATTATTTACGTAGTAAAAAGAGTCTTCAAAATCAAACTTGGTGACTGGCTGGAGGGGGCACCTAGGGAGTCCCTTTCCTGCATCTCCTTCCTTCTCCCTCCCTCCTCTTCTCCCTCCTTCTCTCCCTTCCTCCTTGCTTTTAGGGTATCACTCTCAGTTTGAAATATGTTCACTAAGCGATTTTTAAACATTTGCTCCTGTCTCTCACCTGGGGCTGAGTTCAGTGAAGACAGACACTGTCTGCTCTTTTCATGGTTTTATCGCTAAGGCCTCGCGTGGTGCCCAGCACCCGGTGGGCACTCAGTCTTGTTCACTGAAGGGAAGACATAGCTTAGAACCCGAGTAGAGGCCACTGCTAACACGAGCTCTGGGTCTGCTGTACAGGCCAGGGTGTAACAGCCAGGTGAGTGGCAGCAGTGTGTAACAGCCAGGTGACGTCAGGCCTGCAGGCCCAGCAGAGACCGCTGGCAGGCCGCAAAGATGCCAAAGGACGTGGAAGCCGCCCATGGGCCTCCGATGGCCGTCAGCTCCGGGGTCTCTGCTCCTTGGCCCCTCTCGATTGGGCTGCTGGAGGACCCAGACCAGAAAAGGGACTCCCTAGGTGCCCCCTCCAGCCGGTCACCAAGTCCTGTGAGTTCGACTTTGAAGACTCTTTTTACTCCATAAATAACATTGGCCAAAGATACAGGAAATCGAAGACGCTTCTTCTAGAGAAATTGGGAAACGGGAGCATCCAGGAGGAAAGAATCGCCCACTAGCACACCACACGAGATACCCGTGTATAACATTTTGGTTCGTGTTTTGAACACTTTGGTTCCTGACCGGTTTTCCTGCTCCCGATCCGGCTGTACGAGTCATTCGGCGCAAGCCCCTCCTCTGCTGGTTCTGCCCAACCTCCTTGCTGCAGTTGGAGTGTGCTTACGGAAGCGCACACTGTTGCTTCCCCGCTGAGCCCTTCAGCATCTCCCTGTCACCCAGCTGTCAACTCCACTGGCCTCACACCTCCTCACCTTAGCACACGCAGCTACGCCTGCCTAGACTGCAGCATCCCTGCCTAACTGTGAGCTCCCAGAACCTCCTGTGTCTTCTCATCTTGGCACCTCAGCACACACTAGAGTCCATAAACAAAACCGCTTCTGTGAACACAGGTTCGTCCAGGACACGGAAGCCACAATGATGGAGTAGGAAATTGTACTGTTCAGTCACCTTCGGAAGAAACTGAAGTGTGTCGTCAGGAAAATAGAAGACCCATGGGATGGAAAAAGCGCAGGCAGGGGAGACAGTATCGATGGTTGTCAAGGGATTTAAACTGCCATTTTGAGGAAGAGGAGTTGGATCAATGGGCTTGACCACAGGGAGGGAACAAGGCCCACCTGGGAAGAATCCAGGCATGATTTAAGTTCAGTAGAAATGAAAACTGTCCAAGAGACAGACCTGTTTAAAAGCAGAATGGGACGCGTCCAGTGGTGATGGACTCTCCATCCTTAGAGGTGCTCAAGCACTGACTGACTAATCTCTCAGCTGACGTGCCGTGACGGGAATTCAGCCCATGGGTGAAGGGTACCCTGGCACACCAGAGCCCCCTGTGCCTCAACTAACACTTCCTGAAGACTGACCACGGTCAGACGCAACTCTCAATACTCTACTTGGATTATCCCACTTCCTCCTGGCAACAACCCTGAGAAGTTAGTGCCATTATTAAGTATATTTCAGATGAGAGTTGGCGTCCCAGGGAGGTCAAGTGACTTGCCTGTATCTACACAGCTGGTAAGTGATGGCACCAGGGCAGTACAGGTAGCTGGTTTCCAGAGCCCGTGGCTTCACCACTTTGCATGATGTCCCCACCCCTTTAGAGGGTGGCTGTCAGGCTGTTTGATCTGTGCCTCCAAAGCAGGAACATGTGTTCACAGCATCTGCAGGGAGGTGAGGGAGCCTGGTCTCTGCTTCCAGGAGAGTCCAGGTGTTTCCAAGGCTGGTACAGGAAAGGCTTCTAGCGCCCGCCT